GGAGGGCGTTCACCGCGGTCCGTGAGACAACAGCGCCATCCGCCCCTGCGCCGCGCGCCGCTGCGTCGCCCGCAACATCTACCTCTGCCGCCTCTGCCTCCGCCGCCAGCGCTGTCCCCCCAGTTCTCCGAGCCGGCCTCGCAGCCGCCGTTCGGCGAATTCTCGCAGATGGGAACATCTGCAGCAGAGCAGGCGGCCGCAGTCGCGGCGGAGGCGCAGGCGGCCGCCGCGGCCGCCGCGCTGAAGGAGGAGAAGGCGAGGGTGCAGGCGGATCTCGAGGACGCGGAATCGGTGGAGGCGGTGGCAAAGGCCGAGGCCAAGGCGGAGGCAACGGCTGAGGCGGCGGCGGCGGCGAAGGCGGCGGCGGAGGCGGCGCGGGCTGAGGCGGCGGCCGAGTCTTCGGCGGCCGAGGCGGCTGCGGCCGAGGCGGCGGCGGCGGCAGAGCAGGCGGCGGCAGCGCAGGCGGCGGAGGCAGAGGCGGCAGAGGTAGATGTTGCGGGCGACGCAGCGGCGCGCGGCGCAGGGGCGGATGGCGCTGTTGTCTCACGGACCGCGGTGAACGCCCTCCAAGAGGCGGTGGCCGAGGCGGTCAATGGCGCAAAGGAGTGCATCGTCATGCTTGAGCAGAGGCTTATGGCTGCGGACGCGGAGCTTGCAGAGGCTGACTGTGCTTTCCGTGACCTGAACGCGACGGTCAACGCTAGCATTGAGAAACTCAGACAAGAGACAAACGGCGAGCAGAGGTCTAGGTTGAAAGAGGAAATCGGTCTGCAGCAGACGCAGCTGGGTTTTATCCACAGTCGCTGGATCGAGTTGCGCCAGCAGCGCGGCCTCGGGGTTGACCGTACGGCACAGGCGAGAGTCCAGATGCTCGACGCTATCGCGAGTGTCATGACTGCAAACGCAGCGCAGCAGGGAGTTGCACTCAATGCGTACCACGCTGCCAGCAAAGAGTTTGAGCTGCGGTCGGCGGAGATTGCTGGCATCATGGCAACGCATACACAGATGATCCTGGGCATTTGGATCGTGTTGATGATTGCCAAGTATCACAAGTACGCGCTCGGAGACTCGCAAATGGAAGGCTGGCTTACGATGGTGGTTGGTGGTTTTTCCGCCTGGGTGGTTGGTGGCTCAGTTGTGATGCAAGCAGTCGGCGTCGCAGCCGGCGTCGCAGCGACGCTCAGAAAGGCGCATTCCCTCGTCCTTCTTGTCTTTCTGTGGGTGTTTCATCTTGCCATCACGACCGTTGCCGGCTACAAACGCAAGTACCTCGATGGATTATCCCTGCTTTGCCTGTTCGTTGCGATGTACGTGTTCGCATTTGAGAGGTTTATTATGCCATTGCTGGCGTCACGAGCTTGGCAACACACGTCGCTGGACATTTTCAAGTACCTGGGCGCTTTCCCCTTAGCCGGTACGATCTGCGGCGCAGTTTTCTTCTTGTACCACTCCTCTGGCGGCAAGTGTATGCTACCTCTGCCGGGGGCAAACACAGTTTTCGCTCATAGCAGCTGTCAGCCGGGTTTCGAAATCATGCCGGGCCAAAGCTGCGAAGTGGGCTGCAAGCCGGGCTTCTCCAACTATGCCAAGACGAACGCTTGCGGCGGTTATGTTTGGTTCACGGGCTATTGCGCAGTCACAACCTTCTCTTGCACAGCAGACCTGGCCGGTGCCCACTTCCGCTCGGAGGCTGATCTTGAGTGTATGCCCGAGGGTGATGATCCATCACACCCTGACAATCTGGCAAAATGAGTCTTTCGCTGTACATAAATAAAAACGGACACTCTACTAGGAGATTACACACATCGACTTGCCGAGAGCCCGACCCCGAGACGCGAGACCCGCGAGAGCCGACGGTGCCGAGAGGGCGAGAGACTTGGAGCCTCTCCAAGAGCGAGAGACGCGCGACGGCTATCTCTCCGTCGCGTTTTCGTCCGCTTTTTCTTTCGCACGCTTGCGCGCATCTTTGGTCACATGATCATGGACGTATATACCGCACAGATAGACAGAGAGAGAGAGACCCGTGTGGGCGCCCTGGGGCGTCGTACACAAAAGCCGAACCGTTCGGACGGGAGTGCGGTCTGGGGGCTCTGGGAGATGCACTCCACACCGTGCGAACACCGGCATCGAGCCGCACGGTGGGGAACTTGAAACGAAAGGGCAGCGAGGAAGAGCGAGGGCGCAAGCGTCCGCGCGCCCACGAAGTACCGTAGTCGCCCTCGCCGTGAAAGGCAGCGGACCGCCATCCGCAGGGCGAAGAGGACGGAGGGAGGGCGGGCGGGTCGGCGTGTGGCGAGCGGTGCGGCGCTAGTTTGCGACCGCCTCGCGCTCCTCTGCCGCCGCCTCGAGCGGCGGCAGCACCTTGAGCGGGTTGAGGATGTTGTTCGGGTCGAGCATCGTCTTGATGCCTACTCTCTCCGGCAGCGATCAAGAGACGCTCTTCAGCCACACGGCGGGGGCCAAACCTCGGCTGGGCGCGCCTCGCATCACGCCAATCATGCCGTCGCTCTTGGACATGTGCAGGAAGGGCGGCTTCATCACGCCGACGCCGTGCTCGGCCGAGATGGAGCCGCGCCGCTCGGCGATCCACTCGAAGACGTATGGCTCGATGGCGGCCTGTGACCAGCTACCGCTGGTGACGCATCGGCTGTGATCAACTGCCGCTGGTGACTCATCGGCTGTGATCAACTGCCGCTGGTGACTCATCGGCTGTGATCAACTGCCGCTGGTGACTCATCGGTGACGACTCGATGGCGGCTGCACAGTCTTCCCTAGGGACGCCCTCCACTTTCCGGGGGGATCGCCGAGCGGCGCGGCTCCATCTCGGCCG